AGTTATTGAATTTAATACGTAGTAAATTGGCGTTTATTTTTAAAGTCACAAATTGGGTTTTTATTTATTTTTAGTGAAAAACAAAAATACCAATACTAATATTCTGGTTCATTCGATTTTTTAAAAATGGTAACGGTAATGTAACGTAAAACCTATTCTATATTTAGTTATTCCATGACCTTAAATCGGAGTTAGGCTTTGCGGAATCCGGATAAATTGATTTCTTTTTTTCTTCAATGAGACTATAAAAATAAGCTAGGTTGCTTTACGAATTAACCTTTTTTTTTATCACTTATATATATATCAAATATATAAAAAAATAACGTCAACCGTCAGTCAATAATCTATAAAAAAAAAATATGAATTTTATTCTACCAAAAACTTGTTGTGGATGTATGAAATTGAGGGCCGGAGTTATAATTATTTCTATACTTTGGCTAGTAAGTTCTTTAATAATCGTATAAACGCTCAATAATTAGCCTAATTATTAACGTATACTTTTTTTTTTTTATAGATTTATTCACTATATAACACAGTTTATGGAGGATTTGTCGTCTCACGCAATCCAAGTATATATGGATAATTTTTTCAAGATGTTTTTAAATTTAATAATAATTAACTGCTATAATATACATTATAATAATAGCTAATGGAGCTGGTTATGCTTTTACTATCATCTATGCGTTATTTAGTCTTGGTGCTGCCTATGGTCTTTTCGTCACTTGGCTTGCCGTAAGTGTTAAAACATTAGTGGAATATTTAAATTTATTTAATTATATTAATTTTATATTATATTAATAAATTTAGAATACTGCCAAAAATTTAAAAATTTACTCATATATTGCTAAGATTATTATCTCAGCTTATATCGTTAAAGATATTGCTGAAATTATATTTACCATTGTGAGCAGACAAAATTATATAAAAGATTGTTCTACGACCCTGAAGTCTGCCGGCAATTTTACCGATTCTGATGTGAATGACACTTGTGTTAACTCTTTTAACGTTGCTTTGACATCTAACATTATTTCAACTCTTGTTGATGCTATCATTCTGGTATGTTATAACCGTATTTACTCTTATTTTTTATTTTATTTTATTAATTTTTTTTTTACTGATTTCTTGATAAATATAGATTTATTTTGGCATTGTTATTGTTGCTTATGCGGCAAGCCGTAAAGAAAAGGAATTACTTAGGAGTGAAAATGGTGGAAACGGAGAGGAT